ACGATATGGGAAATTTTGTAGCGATTGTTGTGGAATGACAAAACCACCAGGTGTACCTTGATTGTATCCTCCCGGATACGGAGCTTGCCCATAAACTTGAGAAGTATGTGATGGTGGATAAGTCATGGAATTAAAATTAGAATCTCCTGAAGCATATCCAGTATCTGTAGTAACATTAGAAGTATTTGCATCGCTATATCGATATTGGTCGACATCGGGCATCTTTTTAACAATGAAAAAACAAATTCATAAATAAAAAGCCAATGATAAAATTAAAAACAAATAGACAAAAAAAAAAGAGACTAAATAAGTATAACACTAACTTTGAACTCAAATGCCGATGGTGTCCAAACTTGCCCCTCTAAAATAGCCTCGGTCTTTGCGATTTCCTTCCTTCTTTCCTGGTCGTGTTGACCCGAGGCATCAGAATCATTTGAATAACCTTGCTCTTTTAATATAGATTCATATTTTCGTATCAATAAATCTTTTTCGGCAATTTGAACTTGCTGAGTTTGTATAGTATGTCGCGATATTCGTAAAAGTTGCTCATTCGAATCAATTTTGCTTTTTAAATTGCCATCTAATTATTTATAAATAAATATTCAATACAATTAATAACATTAAGGTCCAAAATTTTTATTAATTTTGTTTTATGTTACCTTCTCTTGTTGAAAGTTCATCCTGCAATTCTTTTTTTTCACGTAATGCTTTTTCAGCTATAGCTTTGGCTTCCCTTGCATCTTCAAGAGCTGCTTCAAGAGCTGCTTCACGTTTTTCTTGTTCATCAAACTTATTTATAGCTTGAGAAACAATTATGCTAATTGAACTATTCAAATCTTGATCAGGTACTCGCCGATCACGAACAATTTGAGTAATTAAAGCGTTAATAAGTTGAAAATATCGTGTTCTATAAAAAAATATTTAACAATAATTTGAAAGAATAATCTTTAGTAACAAATTAAATTAAATTAAATTATTAAATTTTACTAAATTTGATATACCTTGTCTCGCCTTCATCACGAATTAATAGCATTTGTTGCAATGTGGACAAGAAGTAATCGTGTGCTTTTGTTCCTTCAACCGAACTAAGAATACACTGAAATACATCATAAGGACGAGTAAGATGGAGTTAAAGGATTATTAAAGTACCGAATATGGAATGGATGTTTGCTATTAAAATCATATGATTAACTAAGTCCCATAACTTGATTTTAATAGCTAGCAAACGACATAAATGAAATGCAATAATAAATATTAAAATGTCAAAAGAAAAGATAATAAAAGGATATGTCATATCTTGTAGAATCTGTTGATTGTAATACTCGGTAACCTCTTCAAAATCCAATTCACTGTCGTTTTCAAATTTACTTATTTGACGATTAATCAACTCATAATTTAAATTTCTCATTTTCTAATAGAATAATATAAACTGATTAATACAAATAGATAAGATCCATTAACTACAAGTGTAAATTACCTCAATAATACGTGATAAATTGCAATCGTGTAATTGATTTCTCAAGCGCACTCTTTCTTCTACGTCCTCACATACGCCAACAATTGAATTCACCAAGATCATATTGGAAAGCTGATAAGAAAATTTTTATAGTTTTTTTTTTTTTTTTTTTTAGAAATCGGATATTTTACAAGTTTGATTAAAATTCAGATATATTAATCAATTACATTACCACATATTCCATTATTGAACCATCGATTCCTATACCGCCTTTTTTAAATTCCTCACTTGCGTTTACTAAACTACCATAACGACCACGACTGTTAATTGTATTTTCCAATATATTCATCCATGCATCAAATCTACCAGGTTCAGCTCGAAATTGCTTCAGTTGATCAAACCCTCCCAATACCAAGTTGTGGCCAGTAGGAATTTCACAATAGCAAAGAAAGGAAAGAACTTCGGCCACAAGTTTTCGAGTGTTTAATTGTTGAGAAATAAGAGAGAATGTAATACTATGTATACATGTAGGATGTGATAAAGCTTCTTGTGCACCCCACTATAAACGCAAAAAAATGTGAATTAATATAATTTTAAATTTATAACTAGAAAAAAAATATCATCATAACATACTCTGCAGTTTAACAATGACTTTAAACACTTCAGAATTTCATATTCCATCTGATGATCAACTTCTCGCCTAAGTTAAAACAAACAAATAAATATATATAAATTATTGCTATAAATCGAAAGTTTTAATATTAAATACAAACTTTGTAAGTTTCCGTGTAATGAGACTTAAATGATTTGCAAGAACTTCTAAACCCTTAGCGTCAATAAACGACTTCACCCATCTAAGAATAATCCGAATGGTTAACTTATAATTTATTTAATAAACATATAATAAGTTACCACGCACTTTATCGTTAAGGTCCTTAGAGAAACACCAAGAGAATTTAGATCTTCGACAGTAATCGAACGATCCAAAATTTTTTTGAGATAATATTCGGGTGTATTTTTGTCAGGTGCGGATGCTACTATCTTTGTCGGATTTGACAATGATTTCTATGCAAGGAAAAAAAGAATAAAATAGTATAAAATACAATAAATAATAAATAACAATAATAAATGAATCAAAAAAAAAAAAAAAATACCTCTTCTTGTAACATGTCATTTTTTACAAGAACCCATTTTTGATCTACTGGAATTAGTTTTCTCTGAGAATCCGTGAGTTTATTTAAATCTCTTTTATTCTATTTAGAAAGAAATGAATAATTAATATAATTAAAGATACGAATATATTGTAATAAACTCATACCATTAAATCTAAAAACAAATTTTCAATTTCATCATCGGAAGGCCTGGGAGGTTCCTTATTTCCACCAAAATTTTCTTTATAATAACTTAACCAGTCACCTGGAGAAAAAACAACAGAGTTCCTTATAGAGGAAGTATCTGAATGTCGTGTTAATGACGATGATGGAGCATTGTCTTGAAAAAAATAGGAAGATTGCGAACCATTATCTATCGAATGGTTTCTTGAATGGTATCCTGAAGTATCTGGAAAATATTAGTTAAAAAAATTGGAAGTTGATCGCAATGCTGAAAGAATTGTTCTTGACCATTACCAGAAAAACCAGAATTACCTGGCGAATGAATATGTGGCCTAGTTTGAGCATGTGAATTGTTAACGTTCACAGTTTGCTTTGGATGTTTTTTCTTTTTCCCAAATATTGATGACATATTCGTATTTAGAAGAGTGAAATTGGATTAAGTAAACACGCGATTGAATTCTGTAGATCTCAAAAACTCGAGAGCAAGTTTCATTTAGATTCTAGTAAATTAGCCAATAACGATAACGTAAATGTAAAATTATATGAAAAAGTAGTGAAATCTGACAAATGGTTTTTTTATTAGTCTACAATCAGAAACTAAATTTCTATTTTAGACATTGTGCTTGTAGATCTATACCAAATCCTTATTAATATGCTTATTCACCATATGCCGATCATATATAAAAATAAATAAAAATCTATAAATCAGTCGGGCAACACAGTATATGCTCGGGTGAAGTTCTTTTTAGATAACTAAAACAGTAAAACAAGATTTAATACTTAAAAGACACAAATGTTTATGCGAACTATATTAACCCATTGTATTTAACATTTAAGTTATGTAGAATATAAAATATATTATAAAAGTTACGTTAACATTAATTATATTCATAAATGGTACATTTTATCTAAACTCCGAAATTTTTAAGCCAATTTCTAATTTATCACGTGATTTTGACCAATAATATTCAAAACACATGATAATAATTTTTATATATTTTACAATTACACTATGAACTTTATATTTTTACTGTTATAATCACTGAAACCCTAATTTTACAAATTATTAACATTTTATAAGTTTGATAGCTTTAACAAGAGCTGTATCTTTTTGAATTATTCTGTTACTCATCTTTAAAAAAATTTATTTTATAAATTAATTTTCATTTATCTAAGAATCCTATTATGATGATTTATATTTTATCTTCTTTTGTAATATTTCTTTTTATTTAACTTTTTATTATTTATAATAGTTTTATCTTTTATTACTTATAGTAATAATATTGTTATAATCTATTTTTTTATAATATTTATAAGTAATAAGTGAATGCAATATATCAAATAGTAAGCAAAAAGTTGATTTTATAATTAATTTGAAAGTAGTATTAATAATAAACAGTTTATTTAATAATATGAACAAATAAATATTATCTCAGATACTTTATATTATAAAAATATTTGAGAAAATAAAAAGTAAATTATCTAATAAATCGTTATTAAAATACTTCTCTATTAACTAATATATTCATATAAAATTAAATATATATAATTACTGAAAAAATAAAAAAATAAAAATAATAAATATAATAAATAATATGAATATAATAAAAAAAATAAAATATAAATATGATCAATCACTGTTTACTTTATGCATTTGGTAAATATTATGAGCAATATACTAATTGATATGCTAAATGTGATCAACTATTTGTATTTAATAATTAATTTAAATATTTGTATATAATGTTGCTTATATTTATTAATAAACATCTAATAATATTTTATGAAAAGATATATTATCTTTAAAATGATAATTAATATATTTATAGTTAAATATAATATAATAATCTTATTAATAAAGTAACTAGAATTTATACGAGAATATAAAATCTTAAAGAAAAATGATATTACATAAAAGAAAACTTTAATGATTAATATTATAAAATAATAAATAATAATAATACTTTAAAAGCTATTAAAGTTTTTTATATCTTCTATATCATTTATATCATTTATTTTTTCTATATTATATATTATTTTTATTATAATTTATTTTAATTTAAGAAATTCAAAAAAATAATAAAATCAAATAAAAGCATAATAATAATGTTTATTCAACTTTATTATATATACTGATTAAATTGTAAAATCTTTTATTTTTCAAGATAAATTTATTTGTTAATAATAGAATACAGTTATTTATTCATTAGCTCTTTAGTAATATAATTAAAATTTAATATAATTAATTAACATCTAAACTGTTCAGGCTTTTATTATAAAAAATTCACTACTATTATAATAAATTATTCAATATATATAATGAATAATTTATTATAATAAAAATGTAATTTAATCAAATTAATTAGTTAGTCATAATGATAAATTAAAAAATTTTTTAATTAACAATAGTTTAATTTTTAAATTTAGTTTTAATATTTTAAATAATATTTTTAATTAGTATTTTTTTATTAATTTTTTAAAAAATTATAATGATAGAACTAAATAACTATTATTTACTATTTTACATTTAACTAAAAATCTAATTTTTTAAAATTCTAATCATTAAATTTAACTAATGCTCTGAACGGTTCAGTTCAGTTCAGATTATAGGTCAATCTGAAACTGAACTGAACCATAAACTGGTAAAAATCCGAACTGAACTAAAAATTTTGGATTAATCTAAAATTTCAGATCGTTTAAAACGATAACTTCAATCGTTCCAAATGAATGATTTTTTATCGTTCATTTGGAATGATATTTTGATCGTTCCAATTAAACGATTCTTTTATCGTTCATTTAGAATAATATTTTGATCATTTCAATCGAACGATTCTTCTATCGTTCATTTGAAATGATATTTTGATCATTTCAATCAAACGATTTTCTTATCATTTGATTAGAACGATAATTTCATCATTTCAATTGAACGATTCTATTATCATTTGATTGGAATGATAATTTCATCATTTCAATCGAACGATTCTATTATCGTTCATTTAGAACGATAATTTTATCGTTCTAATCAAACGATTGTATTATCATTCGTTTAGAATAATATTTTAATCATTCTAATCGAACGATTTTCTTATCGTTCATTTGGAACAATATTTTGATCGTTCCAGTCGAACGATTTTCTTATCGTTTGTTTAGAACAATATTTTAATTGTTCCAATCGAACAATTTTCTTATCGTTCGATTTGAATGATAATTTCATCATTCCAATCGAACGATTCTATTATCGTTCGTTTGGAACGATATTTTGATCATTCCAATCAAATGATATTTTAATCATTCTAATCAAACGATTCTTTTATCATTCGTTTAAAATGATAATTTTATCATTCTAATCGAACGATTCTATTATCATTCATTTAGAATCGTTCCAATCAAACGATTCTTCTATCGTTCGTTTAGAATGATATTTTGATCATTCCAATTGAACGATTTTTTTATCATTCGTTTAGAACGATAATTTCATCATTCTAATCGAACGATTCTTTTATCATTCGTTTAGAATGATAAATTTAATCATTTCAAATGATCTAAAATTTCAGATTAATTCGAAATTTTTGGTTCAGTTCAGATTTTTTTTGGATTATAAATCTAATCTGAACTGAAAAAAATCTGAACTGAACCGAAAATTTTCGGATTGAATTTTTTGCAATCTAAAACTGAACTGAAGTTGATCTAAACCAAAAATTTTCGAATTAATCTGAACTGTTCAGAGCTTTAAATTTAACTTTTTAAAAATAAAAGAAAGTAAAAACTATAATATTAAAGTTTTTAAAAAAGAGATAATAAGATAAATTTCAGAAAAATGCATCTATGATCTTTGAAATGACAATTATTATTTTATCTTTTAATATTTGACATACATTTTCAAAAGAACTTTATCAAATATATATATTGAAAACTTTTAATAAAATTTATTGAAATTGAAAATTCTATTGGAAAAATTAAAAGTATTGAAATATACTAATCTTCTAAAATCTTATTTATATTAAAAGTTTTTAATCAAATTTTTTGAATTTTAAATATAGTAATTAAAAGCTTTTAATAAAAACTTTTAATACTTCTAATACTAAAATTAGTAATTTCATTAATTTTATATATATAGTTAATATATATTTGATAATTTTTATTTTCATTCTTTTTGTCTTTAATAATAAAACTTAAAATTCACCACCTTACAAAATATAGAAAGGTTTTAAAAAATAAAATTTATATAATACTTATGTAATATATATTGATTGTATTGAAAAACTAGAAAATGATAAACTTTTATAAAATACTTTTATAAATAAAAAATTACAAGTCAAAAATTATTTAAAAACTATTCATATTTTCAAGAAAAAATTGGAAACCAAAAATAGTTAAATAATATTATTAATTTAATAAATAATAAAATAGAAGAAAAAATAAATTAAAATAATAAAAAAGTAAATAATAATCCAGGTAATAATAATAAAAAAAGTTAAAATATTTAAAATTTTTGTCAAAGTTATTTAGATCATTTTTATTTATATCATTATTTATATGTAACTTTAATTTTAATTCATATTTTTGGTTATTTATGCAATTTTGGAAATATTTTTCAAATTCAAATTTAGAAAATTAAATGATTAATTAATTAGAAAAATGATAGTGCTAATAGAAGCAACTATTGTTATTACTTTTCTTTGTTCTTTATTCAAAATATCAGTTTAGCTATTTATTTTTAAACTTAATAATTTGTCATTTATAATATTTAACATATTATTATAAAGTATAATTTTAAAAATATTTATTATGATTATTATTAAACTTTAAAATTTTTATCAGAAAGTTAAATCATTTAATAATAAAATATTTGAATAGTTTAAAGATAATGCCTTTAAATTTGAAAATATATAAAAGGTAATTATAAAGAATTAACTGCAGTTGCTTTAAAACTTTTTAACATGTATATTCTGTTGAATGAATGTGATCTTTCATAGATATTTTATATACAATTTATCATAATTAATTTAAGTAAGTTAATTTTATATTTAATTATAACAGTTATTTAATTATTTTAGATAATAGTTTATTAATTTATTTAATAATAATTTATTAATTTCTTTTTATTTAATTATGAATTGCTTTATTTGTTTATTTATAATGAGTTATTTAATATGAATTTTCTAATTTATTTGAAAGCAGATTCTTTTATTGATTTATTAATGATAGATTTTTTATTTCTTTATTTTGATAGTAAATTTTTTTATTTACTTGATGATGTATCTTTATTTAAGTTTATTTAACAAATCTTTATTATTTAATTTTATTTAGCAATGAGTCAACTTCAGGTATCTATTAACTTTTCATTAAATAAAAAAAAATTATAACAAAATTAAATCAAATTTTTATATTTAAATACTTCTTCAATTA